GACCTTGGGACCCTCCGATGTGACCTTGCAGGTGGGCCAAGCCCCCGCCGCCGAGGGGAGGGGGGCGGGAGAGGGGCAGCGACCCACGGCGCTCAGGCCTCAGGCCGGACAGGTTCCGGGAGTTCCCAGGCGTCTCTGATGCCTCTGGCTCTTGCCCCCCTGCCCCTTCCCTGCCACCCAAGACTCACTCCTGGCTCTTCTTCTGGGCAAGTTTCGTGCACTTGGGCCGTTGCATCTCCTGGGTTGCAGTGCAGCCAAGCACCTTCCGTCCTCGGAAGAATTCGAATTCGGTGCCGCAGCCCGGCCGGCCGGTGTGGCCCAGTGGTCGAGCGCCGACCTAGGAACCAGGAAGTCAGGGTTCGATTCCCGTCAGGGCACATGCCGGGGCTGCGGGCTCCATCCCCAGTGGGGGGCGTGCAGGAGGCAGCCGATCCGTGATTCTCTCTCATCATGGATGTTTCTATCCCTCTCTCCCTCTCCCTTCCTCTCTGAGATCCACAAGAACATTTTTTAAAAAATCAATGGAAAAATGCGCTCGGGTGCGGATTCACGCACACACACTCAGAAAAGGGGGCGCCGCAGCTCGGAGGACCGGCTGTCGAGCTGACGTGAGGAGGGGAACCCCTTCCGTGTGCTTCCCACAGTCCCGCAGCCGGAATCGACCCCCCACCTGACCGTAGGCGCCTACTTGCGCACATGGGCACCTCCCCACCTTCTCCGTCCAGCTGGGTCCACGGACACCCAACGCCAGGAGACCCTCGCGATGGCCCGTCCGCGTCCCCGTCAGCCATGAACAGCTCAAACCGAGCAGCCTCGGGCAGGAACGCGTCCACGCGGGGTCCTCTGATAGTTTCCATAACCCACGCTGAGACCGTGATGTGTTTAAAAAGACGCCCAGCAGTGATCTCTCCCCCACTGGCTCCTAAATTATGGATGGACCTGTAGCCGTCCCCCGCCTCTCCCCATCCATCACCCCGAGCGCTACGTCAGCCGCGTCCTTAACGGGTGCGGGTTCTGCTGGTGCCATTTGTCTCAGGGACACCTCTCGCTGTGGGAGCTCGCGGCGGCTGGAGGGCGGTAAACCTTTTCCTAAGAGAATTGCGCAGAGGAAGGGTAATGACCCGAGTGACTGTCTCCCCCTCGGGGCCTCCAGGAACGCGAGCCGCTCCGTGGAAGTAGATGGTTACGAAACACAGTTCCCTCTCCGGGATCGGGGCGGTCGGGGCCAAACGCCATCGGTGCCGGGACGATCGGAGGCCGCCTGCTGGCTGGCAGGCCCAGGGGAATGCTCGCTGGGAGCGTGTGCCGTGCGCGGGCAGGGCCCCGGGGTTCATTTAACCTGGGCACAGCCCCTTCTCTCGGCTCTGGTTCATCTTAGGTTCCTTCCTGTTCCTCTTGTTCCGGTGGGTGCCTCTCTGGACTCCTGTGCCAGGCTGTTCTAAAGCTTATTCTCCGAGTTTAGTTAAAACTTCTAGCCCGGCCAGCGTGGCTCAGTGGTTGAGCATCGACCCATGAACCAGGTGGTCACCGTTCTTTGATTCCCGATTGGGGCACGTGCCCCGGTTAAGGGATTGATCCCAGGTAGGGGGCGTGCAGGAGGCAGCCGATCCAGGATTCTCTCTCACCATCGCTGTTTCTCTCTCTCTCCCTCTCCCTTGGTCTCTGAAATCAATACAAATATGTTAAAAAATAAAATACAAACACACGTCGGTGCTTTATGTCAGAGGAAGAGGAGTCGGAGGCTGGGTGTGGGGTCCCTAGAGCATGGCCCCCTGGTGGACCTGGTCCGACGGCCCCAGCCGGCACCGCCTTGGCGATGGCTAGCTGTCCTTTCCCCGCAGCGCCGGCAGAGCCAGAGAAGAGAATTCAAATGTACCCCCTCGGCTCTCGGCTCTCGGAGCAGATGGAGGGGAGGAAGCAGACGTTCTTAATTGCTGCGCTGAGATAAAAGCGATGACTGTAGACTGCGCCGGTTCTCTCTCCAAGTTCACGCGCGTGCACACGGGGGGGGGGGGCGCAGGTTTCCTGCAGAAATTATACCTGTCGCCTCCCTGGGAGACCCCTTGGGCGTCCAAAGGACGCTGGTGGGAACCCAGTTCCTCAGCTCAGTGCAGGTTGGGTGGTGACCCGTCCTCACACACTCACCTTAGGGCTGAGCACACAGAAGGATCAATGAATGAAGGCATAGATAAGTGGAACAGCTAATTGATGTTTCTCTCTCTCTTCCTCTCTCTCAATATCCATAAATAGAAAATAAATATTAAATCCAAGTCTTGCTGTAAGCATTACAGACCAGCCTGGCTGGTGTGGCTCAGTGGTTGAGCATCCACCTATGAACCAGGAGGTCACGGTTCGTTTCCCGGTCAGGGCACGTGCCCGGGTTGTGAGCTCGATGCCAGTGGGGGGGGGGGGGGTGCAGGAGGCAGCTGATCAGTGATTCTCTCTCATCATGGATGTTTCTGCCCCTCTCTTCCTCTCCCTTCCTCTCTCTGCAATCGATAAAAACATCTTTTTTTAAAAAAATGACAGCCCCTGTCAACACCTGGCTCAAGGACAGTGGACACGAAGGGTCCCTTCCGTCCGAGGTCTCCCCAGACCCACACGGTTTCCCGTGTGGGGTCCGAGCCGGGACACACAGCCCCAGACACCGCCAGGGTCCCAGGCTGCGTCTCGCGGTGCGATTTCCGTTCAGCTGTTGGCGCGTCATCAGCCTCTCGTTAGCATCCTGCTCCAAAATATCTTCGTTTTCATCAAGAATGACTGTGCCCATACTGATGAGGCTGCTCCCCGGCTCATTTGCATCGCAGGGGCCGGGGAAATGGTCGCCGGGTACAGCGTCCTCGTCGGGAGGGATTCTAAAGGAAGTCTGCCCGCAGCTCACGAGTCTGGCTCGGCCTCAGAATTACCCCGAAAACTCTTTGAAAGACCGAGATCCCAGCCCCACCCCCAGCACCTACCCACTCGGAATATTAATTATTTTTCTGTTTTCTAGTTCCCTGATTTCCTCTTAGATCTGTGTTGTTACTGCTCTTCCGCTTCCTTGGGGTTTTATTTGCTCTATTTTTAGTTCCTTCTGTTTGTGGTTAATCCTCACCCGAGGATATTTTTTTCCATTGATTTCTGGAGAGAGTGGAAGGGAGGGGGAGAGAGAGAGAGAGAAACATTGATGTGAGAGACACACGTGGATGGGTCGCCTCCCGCAGAGGCCCTGACGGGGCACAGGGATAGAGCCTGCAACCCAGGTACGTGCCCTCGACTGGAATCGAACCCGGGGCCCTTCAGTCCAAGGCCTGAAGCTCTAACTACTGAGAAGAACAGGCCAGGGCTGTTTTTATGGTTTTATATTTGCTGTATCATCAGCCTGCCCCACATCACAGAATATCTTTATGGTCATTTATCAGTTTCTGTTTACTTCTTTACAAGTAAGACTCTCTCCTCTTCCGGGGACTTTAGAACGACAGACAGGGAGGGTTTGAACCGTAGCTGCTGTGCAAGACCCCAACAAAAATCCCCCCCCCTTTTTTGTAATATATTTTATTGATTTCAGAGAGGAAGGGAGAGGGAGAGAGAGAGAGAGAGAAACATCCATGATGAGAGAGAATCATCGATCGGCCGCCTCCTGCACGCCCCACACTGGGGATCGAGCCCGCAACCCGGGCCTGTGCCCTGACCGGGAATCTAACCGCGACCTCCTGGTTCGTAGGTCGACGCTCAACCACGGAGCCACGCCGGCCGGCCTGGTCCCCCCTTTTTAACAGACCCTGGAGGTGCTGGTGCTCGAATCCAAGGGGTTGAGTATTTTCCTGGGTAATCGCGACCTCCTGGTTCGTAGGTTGACGCTCATCCACGGAGCCACGCTGGCCGGCCTGGTCCCCCCTTTTTAACAGACCCTGGGGGTCCTGGTGCTCGAATCCAAGGGGTTGAGTATTTTCCTGGGTCCCGGGCACGGAGCACTAATCCACACGTCTTTCTCTCCCCAGTGAGACCCACCGTCATCGACGTCGACATCTACGTGAACAGCATCGGGCCCGTGTCGTCCATAAACATGGTAAGAAACGATCATTTGTTACTGTTTGGATCTGCCGGACGGATTCACTTCTCGCTGATATTCCCGTGGCGGGTTTTCTGTGCGAGATTCCTCCGGCAGGCTCCCAGCTCACGGCGGACTCCCCGACGCGGTGGCGTGTGCCGGTAGTTTAATGTGGACGATGCTGAACGTCAGGGCTGGGGCTGTGACGGTGGCAGGGAGACCCCCCCCCCATGGTTAGGTCCGCGCCGCAAGGAGCCCCAGAACAAGAGACGTTGTGAGCGTCACATCGGGTGGAAGTACACAATATGGGGTCAGGGTGTGGGCGCGGGAGTCGGTCAGGCGGAGGGGAGGAGAGGGAGAGAGAGAGACAGAAACCTCAGTGATGGGAGAAAATCATGCATCGGCTGCTCCCTGCACACCCCCTGCTGGGGATCGGGCCCCGCAACCTGGGCCTGTGCCCTGAGCGGGAATTGAGCCGTGACCTCCTGGTCAAGGGCACCTACATGGGTTGCAGGTTCAGTCCCCGGTCCTGATCAGGGTGCATGCGGGAGGCAACCCATCGATGTGTCTCTCTCCCATCTATGTTCCTCTCTCTGTCTCTCTCTCTCTCTCCCTGTCTCTCTCTCTTCTCTTTCTTCTTCCCTTCCCTTCATTCCACTCTCTCTCTAAAAAAAAAAAAAAATCAATGGGAAAAAATAGCCCTGGGTGAGGATTAACAACCAGAAAAGAAATGGAAGCATCTCCATGATGCTTCCATCAGATGAGCTGTCGAAGCAGCCCCTGCCCAGCTCTGCTCGCTGGAGCTCCAGATGGGAGGGTCTGATTGAGTCTCTGCGGAGACGGGGAAAGATCCCGCGTGCTTTTCGCTTCGCTTTCAGCCGAGACGCACCCGTGGGGCGAACTGCTCCTCGGGCGTGTGAGTCATCGACTCGCTCCCCATTGGGCGAAGCTCCGAGAAACCTGTGGAACCCACCAGAAGTGAGCCGTGTCTTGCTCACCCCGAAACCACAGCATCTCTGAATTGGGGGAGTTAATTTATTTGTTTAAAAAAAATTTTTTTTAACTTCAGAGAGGAAGGGAGAGGGAGAGAGAAACATCGATGATAAGAGAGAATCATTGATCATCGATCAGCTGTCTCCTGCACACATCCCGCCCCCCACCAGCCCCTCCACTGGGGATGGAGCCCGGAACCAGGGCATGTGCCTTTGGCCAGGGATCGAACTGTGCGTCACCTCCTGAGTCCTAGGCCCCACACCGGCCGGGCGAAAGGCCAGGCTTTTTGTCTCACACCGTATCCCAGGCTGGGCTGGCCCTGAGCTCGGGTCCTTCACCTCGTGCGGGTTTTTAAGTCTGTGATGACGTGACGTTCCTTTCGGGTAACAGTCCTTTTGTCGTTGTTGTTAGAATCAAGCATCGGCTTTTACCAGCGAACTAGCAGCCCGGCTGTGTGGTACATAAAACCGCTCAGCCGCAGCCCTGCCGGCGTGGCTCCGTGCTTGAGCATCAGCCCGCGAGCCGGGAGGTCACCGGTGCGGTTCCTGGTCACGGGGTGCGGGCTGGACCCCCAGCAGGGGGCGTGCAGGAGATGCTGCTCGCTCATCATTGACGTTTCTCTCCCTTCCTCTCTGAAATCAATAACAATATTTTTTAAAAAAATCAATGAAAACATATTTAAAAACACACCCACAATAGCCTCTCCGTGGCGTCGATCTTCCGAGGTGGTCACAGCTCTCCCAGTGGCACTGGCGTCCTGATGCGTCCTGTTCCCACAGGCCGGTCGGGGGCCGCTGAAGATTTATGATCAGCAAGTAGCAGCTTCAGACTGATTTATGGGGCCCGTCATCCTATCTTCCCTCCTCCTGCCTCCTCGTCCCAACCAAAAAAAACAGGAGGATAAAGCGTTTCCTGGCAGGACTGAGCCTCCAGCGCTGACCCCAGCTTCATCGATGACCTCCCGTAAATTGCATGCCGGTGGGGAGCCCGCTTTTAACCGGTAACCGGGCCCTGGCGGAAGCCACGGAGGCAGACGCCGCTGTGCTCTCTGCGCGGAAAACCCCTGAGGGGCACCCCCACCCTCTGCTTCCTGTTGTTGTTGTTAATCCTCACCCGAGGCTATTTTTAAAAAAGTAACTTTTTATTGATTTTAGAGAGAAAGGGAGAGTGGGAGGGAGAGAGAGAGAGAGAGAGAGAGAGAGACATCAATGATGAGAGAGAATCATGGATCGGCTGCCTCCTTTACCAGCCCTACTGGGGATCGAGCCTGCAACCCGGGAACGTGGCCTTGACCGGGAATCGAACGAACCTCAGACCCTGCGGTCGTCCGAGGGCCGGCGCTCTAACCACTGGCCCACACAGGCCAGGGCGGGGCGTGTGTGTCTTTAGGGAGCAGGGACCTGGGAGATCAGGCCCTGGTGTCAATGTGACGATAACCTGGCGGGCGGGCTGGCGGCTGGCGGAGACCCCTTGTGCTTTGCAAGTGCCACCGGGAT